AATATCTCTGTGTTGGGGAAGAAGAAATGGTGTCTTTGATGACAGGATAGGATGATGCTTTCAGGCTAAGGAGAGAGATCCCTGGATGGAAATACTCAGAGAGACAGCCAAATGGAGTGGATCAGGCTCCAGTTATCTTTAGCGTTCTTTGGCATAGGCTGGCTGTGTTAAAGACCCCAAATAGCTTTGGATCTATATCCAAAATGCAGATTTAAATATTCATCTGGCTTAAATAGAATTAAGTTGTTGCAACCACCCAAAATATAGCCAAGTTTACAAATTTCTTCTCCTTCTGTTTCATCCCAAATGTACTGGATGAAAAATATAGTTCTTGGATTACAGCAGTCTTTTCAGAGAAAACCAATCTTCTGCTAATATTGATTATTTTCTTTTGTCTTTCCCCTTCTTCATAAGTGGTTTTGGAACATTTTATGACTCTATTAGTGCCCCCTTAGTATATTTTTAAACTGTCCCTGATGATATATTTCTTAAGCTATATTATCATGGGAACATTAGAATCACAGAAAAGAGGGGAATGAATTTCAGATAAAATAAAGAAAACTGAAGGAGAATAAGTTAGTATACGAACTGCAAAAATAAGTAGCAGATCACAAGTGACAGTTATTTAAAAGGGTGAATATATGTATACACAGAAATAAGCTAGAAAAACAGACATAAAGTCAAAGTAATGAATTAGGTATAATTCTGTTGACTTCTGTGACATTTTAAAAGGAGGAGTTAGGGAGAATGACGTCAAAGAGGGGAAAGCAACAATCCTTAAAAAGAGGTGATAAAACTAACAGTACTATTTGCTTTTGTTTTTAGATTTTGTAGCGAAATTAGATGGCTGCCAGAAACGTCAAAATTAATGCTCTCTAGTTAGAATGTGTCAATGCTCTATGGCTATTGTATATGCAGATTTTCCCAGATGTATCCTGTTTTTTTTTTTTTTTTGCTGCTGTTGTTGTTTTGCTTGTTTGTTTTTTCCATCTAGAAACTTTTGTCCAGTTGAAACAGGAGGACTTTTTATGTTAACCTAGGATTTCCAGGCTAAAAGAAGTCAGGATGGGGTAATCGCTCAGCCCACCCTGCTGGGCACATCCACTGTGCATGATGCATGCACTAGGATCACGGACAGTGTGCAGAATGCAGCACTGCCTACGTACTGTGCACGGGGGCTAGGAATGAGCAGTCACTCTCCTGTGTGGGCTCCTACTCTGCTCCTTTTTGCAAGCAAAACAAATCCATCATTTCCTGGAAAAATCGGACCCCCTACCTGTGCACTACTTCAGAAATAGCTCCCAACATGGCAATCTTGTTTTAGAACAACTTCATCTCACCATTACGATGAATTAGATGTGGTCGTTTCACTGACTTGCAGATATTTGTCTGTTGCATTTTATAAGAAAATTGGATTACCTGCCCCAAAAACACAAAACAGCATTTTGAGAAGCCTTGATTGTATTGAAAGTATTTGATCACTTTGTTCACTGCCTCTATTAGCTCTGAAAGAATTAGTGAGGACTTTGGAGAGGACCTTTTTTTCCCCACTCGCCAAATTCAGACACAAATATGTGAAAGAGTAGCTCCGTTAAAGGCCCATAGGATCTTCCGGATGCAGGAAGCAGCATTCAGCTGCCTACATAAAGGAAAACCCCTCACTTTCACTAACATCAACAGTCAAGCCTTGGTGTGATGTTTATTTACATGGTGAGTGTCCCACAGTGTGGTGTGCACCATGCTGTAGATGGGGGGGAAGGACAGCTGCACAAATGGGATTTTTATTTTTGCTTTTAGGAGCACCAGGATTTCACCTGATGGCATTGGTATGATGTCATGCAGGCTAGTGCACTTGATGCAGGTATTACGTACATGGAGTCATCGTCCATAGCTACAAATTCCACACTTCTGGTCTTGTTTTACTGCCCCTGCTATCTGCTCCACACATCAGTAATACAGTTTCCATCGATGTCTCCTGCCTTTGTTGTTCTTCAGGTTATTGCTTGAAATAATCTCTTTGCTGCCACGCTTATGAAACCAATACTCATCCTAATTTCAAATGCTTTAAGCCATCCTCCTAGACAGATTTCTTCAAGAGTCATTTCTGCTAAGTCTGTGTGTGTTAAATGAGGGAGACTATTCTTTGTTAGGATATGGAGTCATATCCTAACACTATTTCAAGTTATTCATCCGAAAACTAAAGACCAGACTGTATGGCTTAGCTATGAGAAAGAGGTTCTCATGCATTTCTGTGCTCTTTAGTCTCCCAGGGGAAAGCACACAGATGGATTCTTTACTCTTCTTGTGTGTGTGAAAGTAGATAAGAAGCATGGTCAAGAAGTGTACAGTAATATATTCTGTTTTATTAGAGCTCTTAAGTGACATTTAATGTAGTCTTGCTGCGTTTAGTGGAAGAGAGTTCTGTCTGCTTCCTGTGTTACACAGTGAATACTTTATTTGAAGGAGAGAACAGAGAGGTTAAAACAGAGGTTTTAACAGAGGTTAAAACTGTGATACTGAGTGACATAGTTTAGAGCACAGGTGTGATATTATTGGCTCTTTTATTTTTCCCCTTTTGCATCTGGGAATTTCTTGTTCAAATGCCCTTTATTGGTTATTTGTTTTTATTTTTCCAGGCCAAATATTGGTCGAGGATTGGAGCATTCTTCATTTTGCGTTATGCTAATTTAGGAACTTGGAGAATTCAAAACTGATTTAAGACTTTACAGTCCTGATGTCTTTGCTTGCCAAAGAAGGTAATTTACCTTCTCTAGCCCATTGTCTTTTTAGAAAGTAATGGGTCACACTATTTGGGGCACTTTGTTTGTTCCTGAGGAGCAAAAGGCACAGTGAAATTTGCAGTGTTTCC